ATTTCCTACAAATGTCGATATGTTATTATCATTTCCATATAGAAAATTTGAAATAGCTCGATGCATAATACTTTCACTATCTTGTTTGTTTTCAACGGCTCGTTTTTTTTCTAACATTAAATATTTTAATCGTATACAAGCATTTAATGTATTACGAAGTAATCGAATAATATTTTTTGCTTTTGTCCAATGTGATTGTTGTCATTGTAATTGAAATTTTTTCATAGTAATAATTGGTGATAATGAATAATCTTCTTTAATTTTTGCAATGAAAGAACTTTCTCTAATCGATACAAGTAATAATAATGCATCTTTTTTAATTTTTTTATAAAGTTCATCACAATCACCACCACGAGCTTTTGTTGTTGAGAAAATTCTTCGTACTTCATTTGCATATTCATAGAGTATGAGAAGTTTAGTATGTGGTTTTTGTTCAATTGGTTGAGTTAGTTCATGTTGAGCTAGATCAATACGACGATAATGTTTTATATAAACGGCAAATATTGCAGCACAAGCATCATTAACAATGATTTCAATTGATTTTTGTAAGACACTTTGTTTATTTCGAATGAATGATTTTATTTTTGATATTAATTTTGCACCTTGATCAATATTATGATAAATTGAAATTAAAAAGTCATTGTCTAATATTGATTGTTGTCGTCGTAAAGGCAAAATAAATCGACTATGAATAGTTAAATTAGATTTGAATAAATTCGAAAGATATGGATTTATATCTGTTGTTAGAGTTTCATATCCACCAGAAAATAATGGTAATTTTAATGTTTTATTATATTTTTTTTCTAATGGACTCTGTGGTGGACCAACAATTAATCGATGACTCATCTTTCCTAATAACCATAAAATTAAATAATTTGTCTTATTATCAACATCGATTTTTGTTTGTATGATATATTCGGCAAATAAAGGCATGATAGCAGCAAAAATTGGTTGTATGATAGCAAAGTTAAATTTTGATTCAGTAAGAATACATAGACCAAGAAGAAGTGATTCGAATAAAACACTTTGAATTTCTTGTTGAAGACAAGATTTGATGATATGTGTTGTATATTCTATACCAAGTGTTGATAGAGCAGATGGTTCAAGTTCATCGGATATATCGACTGGTTGATTATTTAAATAAACTAAAAGTAATTCTTGAAACATAATTATAATTTCACGTAAACGATTAACTTTTTCAATGTCTACGAAAGTTGATTTTAAGACAATATCAATGAATGAAT